ACTTGGCCATGGCCTCGAAAATGTGTGACTTCCTTGCTGTCTGCGAGGCCAGATAACCCTCTTTGTAGAGAAGTTCCCGCACTTTGACATCTGAGGGTGGAAGACGCCAGTGGCCAGAGCTGAGATGCGACAGAAATGCCTTGCGGAGTTTGTTAGCGACGTCTGTACCAGTGTCTGTCGGGGCAGGAAGCAGATCCAGCTGCTTGCGCAAATTGTACCCATTATCTGGAGCATTGACGAAGACCATCATTGCTTCCGCCAAATCGGAATTCATTCGATCATCTATGTAACCGAGCTTTCTGAGCACCTGGGCTACCAGGTTATCCGAGTCTGGCAGCACCAAGGGGCCTCCTCCTTGGAACACACGCCTTGCTTCGTTGCTCCCATAGATGTTCAGTTGTTTTGTGGTACATTTCCCGACGGCAGGTTTAGGGAGCACAAAGGCAGATTCACCTTTGTCGCTGCGTTCTACCCATCTTCGTCCACTGTAACTTCTTGCAACAGCACAAACTGCCTTGATAGCACACATCGGAGGGTAGACGATCAGAGGCCCAAGCTGGATTGCAAGCCAGAATTTCGCAGTACCATGTGAGAGGTACTCCCTGCTGTCTTTGCAAACATACCCCAGGTCTCTCAAAAAATCCTCGCAAAACTCAACATCTCCGGCGTTGTCTAGGGGGCCTCGCCACGCCTCCGTGAGCCGCACATGGCCGCTTCCATCCTGATGAAGCAGAGCTCCGACTTTTGGACGTCGAACCACTTTCTGCTTCAGCTCCAGAACTTGAACACCGATGCTTGTGAACTGCCTGATGACTGCGCGGTCGTTGGAAGGGATGAGTACCGAGACGGTCTTCCCGTCTTCAATCATTTGTACCAGCACATCTGCAAAGCCAAAATCAGAAGTAAAGAGCGCGATGCGGCAGGTGTTGGTTGACCGCTGTAGTTGCAACAGTCTCTCCAAAATCGCAGAATCAGTTGCTTCGCCCAGAGCCCTGCGAGGCACTGCATGATAGTGGACAGAAGATCGTTGCAACAACTGCTGCCACTTCTTGTTTTTGTCCCGTCCAGGTTGCGTAAAGACGTGCGCCTGCACTTGACAGCCGTCCTTGCTCAGCACGTTGATCGCAGCTTCAATGGACTCAATGCTGTGGACGTCTGCATCTACTAGAAGTTGTGCACTTCCTTGTCCCGAGGATTGCAAGGATGTTCTGCTTCCTGTCCGGTGGCAAGCCGCAGAGCGCATTGTCCTCTTCTCCTTGGCTCAGTCATCCCTTCTGCAGATCCCGAACCGGTGACACCGCGCGCACTTACTTGCGCTGTTGTCCTGCAGAACATGGAAGAGCCTATCTCACTTCGACTACAAGGGCTCCTATCAACCGGAGCCTTCAGATTCAAACCTCTTCTAAATGCCGGCCGAGAGTCTTTACAGCAGAGCACGGAACAGGAACAGATCAGCTGCACCCAGGCTTGCGAAGATCCTCGATCTCGCTGAGGTCTGAAGGTCTGCACATCACGCGGTCGGCTTCGGTCACTGAAGGCTCCAGGGGCGCAACATCTGCGAGAAGGCTGAGCATGCTGGCCATGGCAAGGAAGTGCCATGGAATGTGCTTCGGATTCTTTGGGGTATGCTTTAAACTTTAGGTCTTAGGGTTCTCTGACACAGCCTGCATAGTAATCTACTACGTGTCATGAGGTTATGTGCTACTCACTCTTATACTAGAGCGCTGCCCTAGGTCCAAGGTCCAGGGATTCAGCAGCAAATTCAAGCCACTAAAGCTCAGCCCAGGCGCCTGCAAGACCACAAGGAGATACAAGTAATGTGGGAACCCGATTAAGAAATCTTGGGCCTTTATTAGGCTTCCTTTAAAGGGTACTATAAGCGTTCCTTTAAAGGGTGCTATAAGGGTACTATAAGGGTTTTCGGGGGTTTGATGTGAGAACCTGGGGCCCTTATTACGGTTCCTAATTATTATGAATCCTACTATTTTGGTGTTAGAGGCCCAGGGTTTCTTAATCAGGTTCCTGCAGTAGACCAGAAGTACAACAGAAAAAGCGAGCTAAACCTAACACGGTGTAGCAGAGCCATATTCTTAATGTACTGTGACATATCAACTGATAGTTGCACATGAGAAAATGTATGATGATGGCATGATGGGACACAGTAAGCGGAAAAGGAAGGAGGGCGCCTTTGCACGCCGACGCCATCCAGGAATTTAGGGCTGAGGCCTTAACCCTCAACTTGCAAGGTGCTAAAACTCTTCAGCAGCCTGCGGCGCAGGGCCTGTAACAGTTAATACGTTGCATGCTCCTTGATATCATTTGAAGTAATGTGCCGTCCTAGCCCTGTTCTCGTGTTGGGGTCACTGTACCATAGAATCCTAAGAGATTAGAGGTCCCATCGGTCCCGTCAGGAATGCTTATAATAAGTAAGGCCCCTACAGAGACCCGTATCACTGCTTTTAAAAAGCTTTACTTGGAGGTTCATGCAGTTGTAAGTGGTGTTAAGTAGGGTAACTATAGTTATAAGCCCTATTAGGGGACGTGTAACCCTACTTATAACTACCCACGAACCTCCAAGTATCTACGTGTTAAGGCCCGGATACGCGAAGCAGTCTAGAGCCCGAGACCATGGGATGCACGAAGAGGAGGTCAGATGCCTCCTGCCGGGGTGCTGAATCAAAGGGCGCGATCCAGTGCAGGGTTTAGGGTCTTCGGGGTTCGGGGTGTGGAATCTTAAGGCATACAGGTTTAGGATCTTCGGAGTTTGGGGTTTTGGAATCTTAAGGCATACAGAGTTGTCAATGCTTGACATTCCGACGGGGTTTTAGTTTGCGCCAGGAGGTTGGCGCCTAGCTACTGAGCTACTTCATACTATGTAGGGGCTCTAGAAACAGTTTAGGGCTTCAGAGCTTAGAACTTCGAGAGCTCAAGGCACGAGGCTTAGGGCCTCGCGATTTTGGGTTGACAGCCTACCCAGAGACTCCAATATTCCTTAATTAAGGAATATACCTTAAACTATGGTAGGATCCCTAATATGATTTGAGGTATATTCCTTAATTAAGAGATAATATTGGAGTCTCTCCAAGGGTAAGAGGACGGACCCTTAATAAGGACCCCTAGGTATATATACCTTTAATCTAGCCATTATATACCCATTATATAGCACATTATGGGGTGGGGGTCACCATTAAGGGTCCTTCCTTTCCCCTTTGAGTCTCTGGGTAGTTGGGGGTTTCGGCTTCGGGGTGCAGAGATCCAGGACGGCTGCAGTTTTGACTAAGGCCTGTGGCCTCTGACACACACCCCAGACCCCAAACCTAAGCCCAAACTAAAACCTCTGCAGCCGGTAAGCCCCTAACCTTCCTTCATTCGGATATATCAGTATACCCTACACCCTAAAGATCTACAGTAGATACTGCGTAGTGAACCCTGCACCCTAAACCTTCTCAACCTTCTTCGACCAGAACAACAAGCATGGACTAAGCTCCGGCGTCGTCGGCCATGAAAACGGGCGGTCAATCGTCGGGCCAAACGGCACCTCACTCAAGTGCTACGTGCACTGCATGATTCACTGTTCAGACTTAGAGTCAAGGTTCCTGAGTAGCCCCTTTGTTCTAAGGGTACCCTTTTTCCATCTTTTTCCTACTATTCGGCTTTGTTACGCGAACCCTCAAATAATAAGAAGGTACTACTCAGGAACCTAGGAGTCGATTCTCAGTTCCATCAGTGTCTATCTTGGAGGGTCGGGGGTCTTAGTAAGTAGGTAATTAGTAAGTAGGTAGTAAGTAGACTTATAAGTCCCCTAAGAGGGATCCTAATTGGGGTTATGGTACTTATAAGTCTCTAAAATAGCCAGTTACTAAGTCCCCCGACCCTCCAGGTAGGATCCTTCCGCCTTCGTGCATCAAAGCTTTGCGTAAGCTCGAGGCGCGCAGGGTCTCCCGCGCCGTCACGGTGCCCTGCCACGCGAAGTGTCTCTTATGATGTATAATACCTTATACTTATACTCATATCATATTGTATCATATTATATGGTGCCCTGGCACACGAAGTGTCTCTCATGATTCACGAGACCTTGCTAGTGGGGTTGCAAGTCCAAAAGTGCAGTTCTGGACTCAGGCATTGCAATGTCTGAGGGATTATGAAACCGGGGTTTAGGGTTTAGGCTATACCTGTAGCCGAAAAGACCCACCTTTCTAATGAAGGATATATAAAAACCATAATAAGGAACCCTACAAAGGTATATAGGTCTTTCCGGCTACAGGTAGGGATTCGCGCGGTTGTTCAAGGGGTCTAGAGGTTCCAGGCTTCGGTTGCGAAGTAGTAGAGAACTTAAAGGATCATGGGACTTAGTAACTAGGGTTATAATTAGGGTAACTATACTTATAACCCCAATTAGGGTACTTATATCCTTACTTACTAAGTCCCATGATCCTATTTCGAATTCAAGCTGAAGTCTCCCACCCCACTTATGACTGGGTTTACTTGGAGGATCATGGGACTTAGTAAGTAAGGTTATAAGTACCCTAATTGGGGTTATAAGTATAGTTACCCTAATTATAACCCTAGTTACTAAGTCCCATGATCCTTTAAGTAGGGTGTAGGGTTTAAATAGGGTTTTGAGTTTTCAATGCTGCTTCTACTTCCTAGTTAGAAGTCCCTCTTATCCTCAGGGGTGGCAACGAACCAAACGTCTAGGATGCCCACCACCTGTGAAAGCATGATCCAAAAGACGAGTCTACATCCGTACAAATCATTACAAATCCATACAAACAGACCCCAAAACCCCCTATCTCAGATCCTCAAACTTTGCACCCAACCCTGTACTAGCCAGCAAGCCCGCAAATACCTCTTCAGGGAGCCTAGAGAAAGGGAGGTCACCCCCGCAAGTATCTAACTTGTCATGTTTGCTATTAGTTTGCTACGACGGACATGAACCGTAGTCTGACTATGTCTCTATCATCAGCTGGGGCAACACGTCGCTTTGTCTCCACGCGCTCTCATCGCTTCTCATCCGCGCCGCGACTGGCGCGGCCACGCAAGGCGCGGCCAAGGGGACCCGATCCGCTGAGGGCCTGGGAGACTCGAGTGCTCTGTGGCGGCTTTAGGGGTTTAGGGCTTTTTAAGGCTTGTGGGGTTTTGGGTTTTAGGGTTACAAAGTATGGCTATGAACCCTAAACGGTCTATGGGGTAGTTTACGACAGGGGTCAACAAACACGCCAAGCCTTCGTCAGCATCACCGCCAAGAAGATCCAGTAGCGCACGGCCTAATCAACCAGGGGAGATCTTGCTGCACCCTGAACTTTAGGGGTTTAGGGCTTTGGGGGCTCGGGCGAAACTAAGCATTCTACGAGTAACATAGATCTAAAGCAGCCTCACGTCAGCAAACCTGTAGAAAGGGGGCCTCAAGCTCAAACTTCCATTTAGGGTCTAGGGTTTTTTGGGTTTAGGGGTGTACGGATTCAGGGTTTAACAACATTTAGGCTTTAACCCCGCATCTTTTTCAAGAGAGCAGCCAAGGATAGGAAGACCACTTCCAGCCCCCAGTGGAAGAAGTTCACGCCGCAAAGGATGAGCGCCTTGAGGCGTCACATACATTTGGAGGTTCGGGTAGCTATAAGTAGGGTTTAGGGTTTAGGGTTCGGGTAGCTATAAGTAGGGTTTAGGGTTTAGGGTTCGGGTAGCTATAAGTAGGGTTTAGGGTTTAGGGTTTTGGTAGCTATAAGTAGGGTTTAGGGTTTAGGGTTTTGGTAGCTATAAGTAGGGTTATACTTCCCCAAATAGGAGATGTAGTTGTAGTTACCTTACTTATAACCCCACTTATAACTACCCATGAACCTCCAAGTATAGGGGCCTACTTGTAGTTACAGGGTTCCCGGAACCCTTTTAAAGGGGTCTATAAGGATTGCTATAAGGGGTATTATGGGGGTTTAATATAGGGGCCTGAATAATTGCCAATGCGATTTCTTTTTTGGGGTGGGTTCCTTATCATAGGGTTCCTTTAAACGGTTCCTTGAAAGGGGTCTATAAGTGCTCTATGATAGGGGCCTAAATCACTACCAATACGATTTTGGTGGTTCCTTATCATAATTATGGCACAATATACCCCAAAGCCCTCTACAACTTGTTAAGGCCCCTATAGGTAGCAGTAGAACTTCGGTTCAGGGTTTAGGGGTTTTCTGCCTGGGATTCCCGGTAAACCCCACAGTCCCATAGTCTTAACCCCCTGGTACCGTAAGGCATTGAGGAGGCTCAGGTATTCGAGGCTTTAAGGTTTCTCTGGATCTTACACCCCAGAAACAGCAAGCAAAAAGCGAACCCCCACCATGGTTTAGGTGTCAGGGTTTCACGCAAGGACCGGTTCCAAAACAGTTTTCGCCTGCCGAAGCCAGCAAAAGGCAAGACCTGACAGATACTTCATCGCGCTACAGTAAACCCCATAAAGTTGGAAACCGGATTAAGGCCAAATAGTGTTGGGATTCCCTATACACTACTCTTAAGGATTGAGGCTAATGTCGTTTCCAGATTAAGATACCCCCCCAGATTAGACGGGGCCGTCCCGGGCATGTCATGGGCTTAATGAAGAAGTCCATTAGACCCCACCCCTATAGTACCGGAGCTGATTTAAACCCCCCCCGATTAGACGGGGCCATCCCCGAAAATCCCCGAAATAAGGATTTAGGGGATTTAGAGGCATAAGACTTAACCCTAAACCCCAAACCCTGAACCCTAAACCGTAAAGAACTCATGATGGCAGACTTTTCCTCATTTGACCAGCTCATGTCCAGCAGAGCTGAGCTTGTACTTAGGGGCAATGTTCCTGCCCAATCTGCGGGCTTCCTTCCTCATCATTAACCCCATCCCCACATAATCGGGGGGGGGCGGGAAAAACTTGAACCCATGAACAAGTTCAAGCGGGCTAACCTTGACAGCGGGGGGGGGGGGGGGGGGGGTTTGTTAATCTGGATCCAACATTATTGGGTTTCCAACTTTTTGGCTTCTACTGTACAGCATTCCCGTGGCATTTCTACCACATCACCTTCCCATCAAGAAAGAATCACTTTGCGATTATTTAGGAACTGGTGAACTAAGCAATCCGCTGCCTCCGGCAACCGTTTACCTTACACTGCAACTTGCACCAAAGGCATTAAGAGCGCAACAAACCCCCTGTGAACAAGTCACAAAAACAACAAAAGGAACACTTGCCGAGACCTCCCAGAACTATGTGAAGCTCAACAGAACCTGACAGTGTAACTGACTCCCAACAAGGCCTTCACAACGCCACCAATAAAAAACCGCTTGGGAACAAACTTCGGGCCTTTGGGCCCGGGATTTCAGTTTTAAGAAAGCCAAAGATCGAAGATCCCGTGCCGAACAACGGCATCTAGAGTATAGTCGGTTTAGGGTTTAGATAGGCTTTGCGGGTTTAGGGCTTCGGGCTAGAGTGTAACCGCGGTTCAGGTCTGGGTAAACATAAACAGCAAGGGCCAGAAAAGACTAACTTTACAACTTTGTTGCGGATTTTCTGTTACCCCAGCTTCGCCAAGGTGCTTGGAGGGACGTTGTCAGAACCGTCGTCTTGATGACGAGCGGAAACCTCAACGGACGCCGCAACAGCAATAACTGGCACAGCAGCAATAATGAGAGCAGGAACCAGAAGGGGGCAGGGTCGTGTTGTCGTTAGTAGCCCCGAAACCCTTAACCCTAAACTCTAAAACCACAATGGTGCGGGGTCGTGTCGTTAGTAGTCCCGAAACCCTAAATCCCTAAACAAAAAACGCTAAACCTCGAGGTCATAATAGGCCCTTCCAGCGTTATACATAGTGCCTGCATAAGTATACCGGTAAAGGCCCCTGCACCCTTCTCCTTATTATTAAGGCTCCTTCGTTACGGCACAAGGCACCATTTTGCCCGTTGCTTAGTCCCTGAAGCCTTACATGATAATGTAGGAACTTGATTCAGAAACCCTGGTCCCATAACACCAAAATAGTAGGATTCATACAAGGAACCCTAATAAAGACCCAAGGTTTCTTAATCAGGTTCCCACATCAAACCCCCGAAACCTTTGTAGTACTTTTATAGCACCCTTTAAAGGAACCCTTATACGAGCCGTTAAAGGAGCCCTAATAAAGGCCCAAGGTTTCTTAATCAGGCTCCTATATTATAATAGTACCCTTATAGATCCCTTATAGTAACCCTTATAGACCCCTTTAAAGGAGCCCAAATAAAGGCCCAAGGTTTCTTAATCAGGCTCCTACAGTGGATGTCTGAGCCCTGACAACCCGGAAGTCGACTCAAAGGGGAAAAGGGGGACCCTTCATGGGGACCGCTACCCTATAATGGGGCTATCTAATAGGAATATAATAGCTACATTAAGGGTATATACCTAGGGGTCCTTATTAAGGGTCCCTCCTTTTCCCCTTGGAGTCGACCGAAAAGGCCAGCAGCTTTATAGTTTTGGTGCTTGGGGATGTGTGAGTTTCCGAAAATTAGGGGGGGGTACCTTTGAAGGGATCCTTTAGGGGTTCCTTAAAAGGGATCTATAAGGGTTCTATAGAGGGTTTAGGGTTTAGGGAGTTTCCGAAAATTCGGAGTACCCTTATTTTGGTGTCCTTATAATAAGGATCCTACTATTTAGGGTGCTATATTCAGGGTCCCCTAATTATTTTGGGAAACTCCTACGTGGGGAAGAAAGGTTCTTGGTCTTGGGGCACAGTGTTTAAGGTTCAGGATTTTGGAGTGTCAAGCCCGCTTAGCCGCTCTAAGACGTTCGCGGCCCTGAACCGGTTTCGGCGGCCGTAATCCCTCGAGCCTTCCACCTCCAGGGGCCAAGGCCCTAAAATCGGGACCCAGAGCTTCCCATGTCCATAAACACGCCTTAGAAGGGGCCCCCCCACCCTGTAATAGTGGTATAATAGGATTATAAAGGGCCCTAATATAATCGATATAGTGACTATTACAGGGTGGGGGCCCCTTCTTTCACAACGCCCCATGAACCACGGTTTAGTTTTTTTTTTAAGTGCAGACAGTGTTGGGCCTTTAGGGTTTAGGGTCATCTCCCCACCTCGCCTGCACGGAACCCGCCTAGAACCCTCATAGAGTCATCGAACTTTTCTGGTGTAGCGCCGCTCGAGAACCCTTATGGAGGCCTTCTAGCACCGCTACAGAAATCTTATCTTATGTACTCCTAAGATCAGTAAACCATGAGTCGAGTTGCTCCTTCGCTGCCAGCATGGTGCCATCGCAAGCCTGGCTCCACACCCTCGAAGGCTGCCCCAAGCCAGACTACGAGTGTCTCCGGTTTATAGTTCCGGGTGTAGGTGTTTGGGTTGAAGGCTTATTGCCTAGTACGTGAATTAGATCAAAGAATCCGGAAATAGAAGAGCCCCGTAGAACACACTGAACCTGGAACTCGGACGTCTACCACTTTTCTTCGAGAAAAAACAGCCTCGTCGTGCCCGGGCATGGCTCCTGTGCGTCAGAGACATCAATCCACGCACTCCCCCTTCGCTCCCTTCTCCAAGAAAGGAGCGAACGATGTGCAAAGAGGAAAACAAACAGTATGGTCTGTTGAGTGGACTAGTGTCTCTCTGTATCATGCCCTAACACAATCAGCTCGGGACAAAAACTGGGTCGAAAGTCATCTCGATTCCGAATCCCGGTCTCATGCCGGAATCCTTCTTAGAAGGAAATTCGCGAAGAGATTCCCAGTATCCCATAATTACACTATCGAGAGCCTCAGAGTTATTCCGACCTTCGCCCAGAAAGCTATCTTCCGTGACAACATCCTAGGTCCTAGCTTTCACCGGATTCACTCTCTGCTCTTCAGGCTCAAGGCTCTCATGCTCTACTTTACCGTCCTATGTTCCTTAAAAGGGGAAAACTGCTCCTCTTCTGGAATACGACGAAGAAACTCAGTTTGATTCCGAAACCTCACTCGACCTCTCTAACCTGGTAAGGTAATCCCCAACTAACCAATGGAAACCATCCTGAACCTCTTCGTCATATTCCTCTACGTCGACTTGACAGCCAGATCTCCAAAACTCAAACAGGATCCTATCACGATTCCGCACACTCGGATCTAGCGGCAATACGATCACCTGAAACTCGTCTGTCTGGCACGCACAGTCAACAGAGGGCTTCTTACTCCTACAGCAGCTCCTCCAGAGCATCTTTCCGATTTCCCAGATCGCAATCAGGACAACACACCCCAGCACGTAGCTTAATGTAGAACCATCACACCCATAGTCACTTAGATCCTCTACCTCGCCACGAGAAGCCTGGGACACGGCCTGTGAGGCACTACACACTAACCCGGTGGAAACCTCCGAAGCCTCAAACTCCGTCGGCACCCTGCTCGCACTAGCACCCTGAACCAAAACCCACCAAACAATCAATACCCAAACAATCATGCGCACACATGCCGGATTGAGCCAAGAACCCGCGCGTTCACTGGGAGGGTCATTCGAGGAGCCTGGTCTTCCATCTAAAGGATGCGAGCGCGCACTCATTGAGAGCGCAGTCCAAACACCAGTCTCCAAACCTGTAACAACAGCCTCTACCTCTTCGCAGGTCCATCCTACAAGGGGTACCTCAAAGGTGTCATCAATATAGTGCACTAGAAGGCATCCATCCCGGGCTTCGTAAACAGTGGTAGGCACCCCGCTAGCCGGCGACATAACAGGTTCACCTGGAGTCACTAGCAGCACCTCCGGATCATCAACTGTAGCCTGGGAGCCCTCGGTCAGCACTGAAGGCTCAGTAGTGGAGCCTTCGGAACTATACGAATCGCTATCGTCCCCAAACACTTCCTCAGCGAGTAACCCATACTGAACCCGCTGAATCCTAACCTCCGGTTCAAAATTTAAAGGTCGCTCGTCAATGGTCGGATCATCTTCCCGGTCTTCAGCCTCTACAGGGTTTTGCTCAGCAAACGGAAACTCACGGATTCCATTCTGAAAATACGCTTCCGCTGCATCCCTTGTCTGTCCTCCATCTGCATAAAACAAAGGGCCCGTAGCTCTTAGCCACAGGATCGTTGCATGGAGCGAGTGCTCTAAAAACCCTCGTGCAGCAAACCGAATGGCCCTAACTTCCCCAACCCTGATGCCCAGAAAAGATAAGAGCTCAAAACCGGCAACAGAGAAGATCCTCCAAAGATAATGTGCCCTCACTCCAGGAGCCCAAACTACATAAGGAAATCCTAGAATCGACCCTCCAGCTGCTTCCCCGACTGGCCCTTCCACATTCGGCGGCTGACTCAAAAGGAATGCCTCAACTGATTCAAGCCATTGTGGTCCCTCATACTGGCAAGCATTTGGACCCTGTCGTAAATGGTCAGCTAAAGCCCCATAAAGTCCAAATCGCACTGCACTGGAAGCTGCCCGGACGGCCAACCAAGTACGATCCCGAATGCCTAGCAAGGCTAACAAAACCTCTCCAACGCTAGAGAACAACTGAAGGAGAAAATGCACCCTGATCCAGGTTCCTACAAGCGGCCATCCTTCTAGGGACCCTTCAGTAGGTAAATAATCTTCGTAGCATAGCTCCGTCTGCTCAAAAGGCAACGCCTGCATGCCATGTGACGAGGAACTCCCCCCTACCTGGACCCTCGGTGTTGGAATCTCCGAATCAAAACGACTCCCCCCGATCTGAGCCCTGAAAGACGAGTCAAAATGGACCTCCTGGGACCTGGCACTTCCGAACGGAACACCTGCATCTGAAGGACCTGGAACCTCGTGAGAACCGGCACTCCCAGACTGAACTCCTGCATCTGAAGGACCTGGAACCTCGTGAGAACTGGCACTCCCAGACTGAACTCCTGCATCTGAAGGACCTGGAACCTCGTGAGAACTGGCACTCCCAGACTGAACTCCTGAATCTGAAGGACCTGGAACCTCGTGAGAACCGGCACTCCCAGAGTCTCCAACCCCGGGATTAATCCTAACAGGAATCCACTGGAGCCCACCAGCTCCCGACACCGCCCTAAGTTCTATCGTCTGCCCCTGATTTGGGACATCCCTAGGGACGTTCCCTGTGTTCATTACTAGAAGCAAAAGACGAATCACTGAATGCCTGCGCAGAGCTACAGCTGCACAACAGAGATGCATCCACTCTACCGCTTGCGCCCCCAGGTACACTGCAACAGTCGTCCCATGGTTCGTAAACAGATCTACCAACGACTCAAGTCCTACACCCGTCCCGGCGGCGCAAAATCGTCCTTGCGGGCCCTGAGATGACGACGCTTCCTCCCCAGACGAAGCACTTAAGTACCAGGAGGGAACTGGACCAAACCTCTGGAGGAAGTTAGGCGGATCGACTACACCCCCGGCTGCAACCTGCTTACGAACCTTCGCCCGTTGGAGGAACGTTAAGCCAGAGCGACGCTCGGCTTCTTCAAGCTTCAACTGCGCCTCGCGCCACTCCTGCTCCGAAAACTCATCGTCATCTTCAGGCTCCGGTGTAGCAGCTGGACCCTGCTCCGGGGCATCGTCGCATTGGACCGTCCCAACACCATCAGAATCCCCATCGCAGTCCGGAGCCTCTGACCCAACGAACCACCGACCTACCCTAAAAAGACCACCCTGAAGTCCACCTCCTGAGTACCACCACCCAACCACGGCTACACAGCCTACAGTCACTAAGCAAGCCAACACCCAGACAAACCACCCCTGAGCTTCCGGAAGGCCATGGGCAGGCTGACCCCTCACACGCGGAATCACTGCCAACAAGGCGAGGCCTGCGAGCAGTTCCGCAGGAGCAACTGACGTGCTACACATCCCTCGGCTTAACACCCGAGCCGATGCTACCCCCGCGGTATCAGCCCTGGCCTCCCTAATATTAGCTAAACTTAGCAAATGCATGATTCGGGACCGACTAAGCGGTTTGGTCCCAAGGTCCGCAATCTGCTGCATTCCTGGGATGTGCGACACGCGCAAAACTCCTGCAGCCACTCTTTCTCGGGCGGCTGTGGCCCTCATTCTAAGGTGGCGGTTCCTCCATGAGGTCCCAACCTGGTCGAAACTTCTCAACGATGCCTCGTTGTCGCTTAATAGTGCTATCGTAGAGTCTGCCTCTATGAGCTCGTCCAAGAGTGATTGGATGGATTCGGACAGTTGGACCGCATGCACACTGCACACCAGCTCCGCCTCCGCAGAGGATAGAGTAGTGAAAGCTTGTCGCGTCGTTTCCCAAGCAATCGGAACACCCATCCATAGAACAATCAAAGACTGCATCGATCGATCACCACCAGGGCTATGGGAAGCGTCGGAGTACACTTCTAGAACTTTCTCAGATCGCGGCATCAAAAGCAAACCGTGGTCTGCAAAGGGATTCCCTACCTCAAAGGGAACCTCGATTCCAAACTCTGCCGTGGACCTAAGATACTTCAAGGTCTGCAACCCAACACTGATGGAGATCTGTGGCGCCTTCGTCGCCTGTTGCCCGCAGCGTGACACTGCGTATGAAATATCTGGTCGAGTTCTCGTAGCAACCCATAAAAGCGCACCCGTAATGGCTTGAGCTTCCTTAACCTCGGAGGCCGACACAGAATCTGGAAGATCAGGGTCCGTCCACTTAGAGATAGGCACCGCCGCATCCTCGGTAACATTGTATCGTTGCAGCAGTTCTCGAATATATGCCACTTGCGATAGCCGATAACCTTGAGAAGATCGTGAAATTTCCAAACCGCAAAAGGTAACCGCCGACTCCTTGATCCACTCCGGCTCTGAAGTCTTCCATAAATCCCGCAAAACCTTGATGAACTGGAGGGCCAAACCGGGCTCAGCAAACAATGCCAAGTCGTCCACATAGACTATCAAAACTCCCTCCACATCACCAAGCCCCTCCTTGGTGTACTTCCTCAAGACCCAGAGGGCGTCGTCGGATTTCAATTGCACCAGGTGGTACTCTCCTCCGGCATACGGAATCCGCATCTTCTCAAACTCGCCGTCCCGATACCTGCCCCAATCCCGCGGGGAAGTCGGCAAACCATACAAGGCCTTCCTAATCCACCAACGGTCCTCCTTCGACAGGATTCCCAGCTCAACCAGGAAGTGGGGCGGCTTAACAATAATACGCTCCTCTTTGCCCTGATGCTCTGCCCGGATCGGTGCGTATAGGAATGCAGATTTCACATCTAACGTAACCCCTACCCAACTAGGATGACGGCCAGCAAACACAACCGCAACTTTGACCGACAAGGATTCAGCACCCGAAGCGTACAACTCTTCCCGAGTTAGCCCTAACTT